TAATTTTTGAAGAATTGTTCGCTGATGGTATTATTTTCTTCCAAACAAAAAAAAAAATGTCGATCATACTTTGAATTTAATGGGCTATAAATCTGCATACGTAGAATTTTTGCAAAAATTATTAATAAAACGTTTGTTGTAAAATGTTGCAAACAGCGTTATGTGATTTTATAATAAATAATATAAAAAAAACTTTTTAATATACAACGCTTTTATAAATGGACTAAAAAGTAGAAAATAATACTTCTCAGTCCCATAGAATTTGTTTTGATAACTTTTGATTTTGAAATTTTAGCAAAAGTCATTATAAACAATCTATGAAATTGAAAATGAAAAACGTGGAGCGCATGCAATACAAAGCATTCGATTTAATTGACAATAGTCAAACTACATAACGTAGACCTAAAATTTCTACAGCGAAAGTAGAACTTTGAAATCGATTTTAAGCGGTCGTTATTCATATACCCACATACATACATTCATATATTACTTTTCATATCAATTCAAGTGTATTACATGCGCCCCACGCTTTTCATTTTCAATTTCATAGATTGTTTATAATGACTTTTGCTAAAATTTCAAAATCAAAAGTTATCAAAACAAATTCTATGGGACTGAGAAGTATTATTTTCTACTTTTTAGTCCATTTATAAAAGCGTTGTATATTAAAAAGTTTTTTTTATATTATTTATTTTCTACTTTTTAGTCCTGTCTGAATAAAATTTTGCAATAGATATTAAAATAATTCAACGATATTAATAGAAAGGTGCACACACATGCATTTACATATGTATGTACATACAAACGAGCACCAATTAATTTTATTTAAAGAATGACGTGTCGTCTATTTCCGCTGTAGCAAACGTAGTACATAGGGCGGCATCTAGATGTCATCTACCTCGCCCTATTCACTACAGCTATCGGCCTATGCACTACTTCACTACAGATGTCGCCCTGTTCACTATGCTTTTTTATAGGAGCTTTTCAAAGCTTTGCTTTGGTGTCGGACACACAACATTGAAAGCTTCTGGATCCACAACATTGCAATTTGATAAAAGCGTTGTAATAAAAAGCCATAAATTTGAAAAAAGGACTACGAGAACAAGTAACATTTAAATTGAATCTTTATTATGACCTGAAAATTTGGATAAATAAGAGCTTTATAAAATTGTAACATAACATAACATGACATAAGATAACATTAACAGTCTATACGACCTAAAGCAGTTTTCTAAGTTCATCAGAAGATGTATAGTTTTGAAAGTTTATAAATAAGTGTGATAGCGACTTTTGGAAGAAGAGTTAACGTTTGATGCAATTTTTTTTCAGAATATAAAAAGATTTTGCACTGTGTTATTAGTGGAAATGAAACTACTATAAATACTGGTACGTAATCCTCCAAAAACTAAAAATCGAAAAAAATTACATAGCGCACTTTGCAAGTGGATTACTCAAATGTTGCTGAATGTTTTTATTTTTTCTACAAAGTTTTAAATTTAGACTTATGCATGTGATTTTTGCAAGATAATGAGCTATATTTTTATAAAAAATAATAAACATTAAACAAACAAAAGAAAAATAGTCACATCTGGTCAAAATTTCGTGTCCTTATTGTTTTTCACATGACTGTATATTAAAAAACCTAACAACTGTTTTGGCACTAACCCGTACCGTACCCGTTCCGATGTTAAATTTAAGAAGTATTTTCAAGGACAAGCTTTAAACAAAACATAGAAATCGAGTTGCTGGAAGAAGAAGAGTTTCATTTCCTTTAAAAGTTTTAAGTGCTGCATTTTTTCCTACTTACGGGAGGAAATATTTTTTAATAGCATGGTTCTAAAACAATACAATTCGGATGTTACTTGTTGTTGTAGCGGTTTTTTTTAAATTTATGGCTTACTGTTATAAAATCACATAAGCTGTTTGCAAGTGGACTACTCATTTATCTGATCAAAAAATACAAAGCTCTTAAAATATTCACATATCGTCACCTAAATACAAAAATCCGTAACTACACAATTTTTTGCAATTCGGTCAACTTATCATAATCAATCAAAAGGTAACGGTATGTGAATAGTGCCGCTTTACTTAAAGATTGGTGCCGCGGTGAAGGGTAAAAGTAAAAGTTTGTGTTGACTCTTATACATACTCATTTCCTATTGAATATGTTGCGGTTTTAGGATTTTAAAAGCAATATCATATTTAATTATTTAAAAATGAGGCATTTCATGTCACCGTGGCCAACTCTGTGCGCGACCTCTCAGGATTTGGATGAAAGTTGAAGAGGTTGATGGTCTAGGTGACATGAATATACGTGCAGCATATTTTGAAGATATTACGTAGGGTTGCCTATTTACACAGAGCTTAAATTTTAAGAAAACGTCATACATACCTTTCTTTATAGTGCTATATCTTGGAAACCCTTTAACGAAACTTAATGAAAAAAAATGTATTCCTTACGGCTTATTATGGACTTTAATTGTACATTTTCTACATAAATGTGCAACGTACAAAAAAACAAAACAAAAAAAATTAAGTAAACATTTTTCTTTTTGATTTTTTTTTATTATAGCATTTTTTAATTTTTATTTTTACATAAAAACATTGTCTATATTGTCAACTTTAAGTACCCAAATGGGCGTAATGGGTACGGAGGCGTATGGACTCTAGATCGTCTAACGCTCGAGCAATAAATAAATAAATAGACATTGAAATTTTATGAAATTGTATATTTTTGAAAGAGGAAAGGTGATTGAAAAACAAAAACAGTATGAATAAATCATATCAACTTTACTAAAGGTCTGAAATCATGAAAATTCCTTCAAGGAAATAGCAGAGTTGAACTTTGTTGCAAGTTCACTGGGAAATCTGCTTGCGACGTGATTGGAGGAAATCTTAAGAGACTAGCAGCTGGAGCAAGTCTTTAACTCCTGATGTTACAACAAATTCGTACACCCGAAGCCCTCTACCAATGGAGTGCTGTATGTTTCCAATGGAATGCCTGTAAAAAATAACTGCAACTAACTTTTCAGTGGACTTTATTTCAACTATGACTACATGCCAATTACTTTAATCCTATTTTAAGCTAGTTTAAAAGGTTAAATAACATCAAGTTATGGAACTTCATATCCTTATTTAACGAATCTTCAAATCAATAAATATTTTTTTTCTTTTTAGTTCTCATTGTAATAAAAGCGTGTTGTTAGTTTTATTTTAACTATAATTTTATTACTCATTCGATTTATTTTTTACACACCCTTCCTTTTTTTGTTTTAATAAAAGGACTAACCTTGTAGCTATCATTGGAGGTCTAATATTCTTTTGCAATGAGTGTGGTTGTTGTTGATGTTGTTGAAGTTTCGTGTTGTTGAAGTTTATGTAAAAACAAAAATTTTTAAAAACGCTATAATCAAAAAAAAAAATCATAAAGAAAAATGTTAACTTTTTTTTACGTTGCACATTAATTTAAAAAATGTACAATTAAGGCCTATAATAAGACGGAAGACATTTTTTATCATTAACAGCCTTATTCTGTATCACGAGCGATAGGCAACACGAACGATTCGGTGGCATCATTTTAGCCGGTTTAAACGCAACCGAGACCATTGCAACGTATTGTATGAAAAGCAAGACGAAGACGACCGATAGAGTTTAAAATCGTAATCAGAGAGGTTGTCGTCTGCAGACGAATCGTTCGTTTTGCCTATCGTTCGTGATACAGAATAAGGCCCTAGGTTTCGGTAAAAGGTTTCCAAGATACAACCCTTTAAAGAAAGGTATGTATGACGTTTTCTTAAAATTTAGGTCCCGTGTAAATAGGCAACCCTACGTCATATCGGCAAAATATGCGGCACGTATATTCATGTCACCTAGACCTTCAATCTCTTCAACTTTCATACAAATCCTGAGAGATCGCGCACAGAGGTGGCCGCTGTGACATGAAATGCCTCAAATGTAACTGGTTTTACAAGGCAAACATTACACACATACATACATATCCATAATTATCCTTTTTCTTCATAGCTAACTTTGCAGCTGGCGCTTGCGTTCTTGTGCGAACATGCCCTTCACTTGACAAGATTGAACGCGGATATGATGTATATTCACCAAGACTCAGGTTTGATGAATGTCTCGTATTATAAATTTGATATTAACGACGAAAAGGAAGAACTTGATTCTAATCGGCCTGTACCGTTCCGACTAACACCGAACATTGCTGAATTCGTAACAAATATTGGAATAACTGGTCCCTTGTCAGCTGCAATGGTGGCCACTGCACGGTGCTTTGTTCAGCCGAATTATAAGCTGTGTTCGATTCTAAAAGCCATACTCAGAGACGAAATAATTGCTGTCCAAAAAAAACGCATCCGAGATAATAAACTTGTGGAGCCTATAACAGACTCTGCGCTTGATATAAACGCAATGGATAACACCATCAGTTTGGTTAATAAGGCAGTCGCAGTAATAATGTCACGACTGAATGCAATTTCATATTTTGATAATACCGAATCTAAAAAAGTGTCGATTTTAGTACAGTCTGCAATTAATCCAGACAATTTATGTCGCATGGATCCAGCATGGCATCCATGGTTATAAAAATGTAAGAATTTTAATCTAACAAGTCTAATAATTACAAAATAAAAATGCCTATACATTTAAATAAATATATATTTACTCGTAGTATGTAAATTAATTTTTTACACTTACTTTATTGATAGAAATATTCTTTAAGATTTGACTTATTTTGAAAGTGATACTTGGAGCATATTACTACGCAGAAGTTCTTCTAAATATGTTTTTTTCGGATAGTTTTTGTAGCAATAGTTCAGGCTGCATTGTAGATTGAAGTAACTCAGACAATTGTTCTAACCCACGGCGCAAAGTATGTGTTTGTTCGAGATACGTAATATTTACCGTAATATTGCAGCCTTGTTGCTTCCTTGATGCTCAGTAGCTAATGCTTAACTCGAAATCTTCTGAAATGCTGCAGAAAAAGCGCAATCAATATTTTTATATTACATTTGATTTGCTAACTTTCGTTCCCTTCTGAAATGCTGCAGAAAAAGCGCAATAAATATTTTTATTTTACATTTGATTGTCATAACTTTCGTTCCCTCTATTACCGGCAATGAATCGGTTAATTGCCGAAGGGAATAAGTCAGCATTTTTTCGATATGACAATTTTGATGCAGTTCGGTTCATTTGAAGGAACTCTGTTGAACTGCATCAAATTTGCCATATTGGAAAGATGCTTACTTATTCCTTTTGGTAATTAACCGATTCAATTATGCTCTTATTAAAAAATGTATATATGTTCAGCATGTCACAAGTTTTTTTCTAATAAATGTTCTTTATTTCGAGTTAAATAGTTGCCGTAAGTATTTATGAGTATTGTGTATGGCTTCTATATTGGAGATCTTCTGAATAATTATCTATCTTCAATTTATCCTAAACTTGTGATAAATTAACACTAAAACACATTTTTCTTAAGAGAGATAGACAGACAGTCCTTATTCCTTATATATATGTATACTATATGTAATTAGATGTCTTTAGTAAAATTATAACATATTTTTACTCTTGCGTTTCTTGATGCGTCAATAAGAGACGAGTTAGTAGAAATTTTTTATCATGCCCTTCTAAAACTAATTGATTTTTCAAAACCTCAACCATATTTTTGTTCGCATCAGAAACAGCGTAGAAATAATACAGTAACAAAGTTAAAACAAAAAAGCAAGGTATAACAAAACCGGGAGTTCCGAAAAAGAACACAAAATCTTTGAAAAATGCTGGCATTCCCATAAAGGTAGACAACGGAGCATCCCACACCGTTTTTAGTCCTCTAAATGGTCCACATGCGACAGAAGGAGTTACTTCAGAAAACGCATAAGTTAGTACTATCACTGAAACAATGAAAGATATCAATAACACAAACATAAAAAGAGAATTAGACCTAGATGTTCCATATAGTATTTTTGTTGGTTTGGAATTGACGAGACACTGGAACTTTTTAACGTAAAACATTAGAAACGTAATTACTATTGTTAAAGCTGGCAAAAAGGGCATATAAAAGCTTCCAATCCAGCAAATGGTTTGTAAATACACAATATCCAGAGCATGCTTTGACAATTCGAACTCTTGCTCACATACGAATTTCACGAAAGTATTACTATCAAAATATAAAGCCAATATAGCACGGGGTAGGTTAAAGCAAAACGTTACAAATAGATGGCTTACGAAATCTGTTAGAACAAGTTTGTAGAACTGTTGCCCCACAAAGGTTTCCCAACATTTATATGAAGTGAAATTCGAAATATTGCTTTCGGAATTTGGTATGACAATGTAGTAGAAACGGCTTAATAAAATAAACAAAGATGCTAGTCGTAGAAATATCATTCGGATGAGACTGATTTTTATCACAAACATTGGGGAGTATTTTTCAAAGCTACACAAATATTTAAAAAAAACTGGCAATATAAGGTTTAAGCATACAATGGAAACATAGGGAGCAAAATCATAAAAGAGCTCAAGAAGTTGCAGTGATGGTTCTTTAACTTCAGCAAAATCTATTGAATTTACTTCTATATAGCTCACGTTTGTATATTTACCATACCCTTGTTGCAGGCTCATATTGAATAGCAAAAATATAATGTACGCAGAGAGTATTAGTATAATAACGACCGCAAAATTAACAATAATTCTTATCATGATAAGTCTAAGCATATAGTCATTTGAGCGATTATTTCTTTCGACCTCAATTCTTTTAGAGTGAATTGAGTTTTTGAATTCATTAAATACTGCTTTATGTTTAATGATACTCGATTTTTCATTGTGAATACAAAAGTCCCAGCCCCCAAAAGCCAGGTTGCAATATTGATAAAACTGCCATCTCCCGTTTATAAGTCGATCTTTGAATTCTCGTGCTGATGCTTTTACAATAAATATTAATGTTGTTGTAAAATAGCCCAATACTGCAAATATATATGCCGACGATAAATCGTATAGAACCTGATCGCTTTCGGTGTGTGTAGAGTTATGAGATTCTTTAAGAGCAATTCCGACTCTTTTATTAGAATACCCCCCATAAAACATTAAAGAAACTTCTAATATTCCAGTGCCTTGCACTAAATCAAGGATACTAAACGATTCTCTGTTCTTACTATCTACGTAAGTGTTACGATCAACGATTTCTGTAAGACAATTGCTAGAGTAATTTACATTTGGCGAAAGCTTACATCTGTCCAAAATTTTCTCGCGTGTTAGAATGTTTGGAGTGATTACAAATATAACAATTAACAGAAATGTAATACAATTAAGGTAGAAAAGCCATCGCAGAAAAATGAAATAAGCAGCTACGCCGCTACCAAAATGACCTTCGATTTGTTTTAAAGACGACTGCCACAGTTTGATAGTAGCACTAAATTTAGACCACTCCAAAGCAATTTTTTGCCAAGCTTTACGATGTTTCCATTTAAGTTGGTTAAAGCCTTGAAGACGTAATTTTGTTGCACTCTGAAGAGAAAGAGAAATTAAAATGCAAGATATTAGATTAAGCTACGAATAATTCTAAAGGGAAAGTAACAATAAAAACCGGTCAAAAGATGCCATGATTTGTATTACAATAGGTGTGTACTCGTACGCCCAACTATCTAAAGTTTTAGAAAACTTTTACTGGTTTTGCGTTCTCGTACCCAAAAAACTTGCAAAGTAAGGGAAATTGAGAGAGCAAAATGTGAAAGAGAGCTGCAAATTTCTGCTGGAAAAATTTTTCCCAGCTAAAACTTGCAAGTTAGAAAATCAGCTGATCACAAACACATGTTTGTAAATAAACAAAAGCAAATATGGCCTCTTTGAGTTATTTATTGCAAATTTTATTATTAATGCTAGTATACAACGAAAAAGTGAGTAAATTTAATATGCACAACGTTTGTTGTGTTTATTTTTCGCTAATTTGCTATTAATCTCCAGTTTGTTTACTTTAGTGTGTGCCGACTATGGTTGCCGTATGACATTTTTCGTTTGTACCATAATTTACCTTTAAATATATCAAAATAGGTTTATGCAGCGTTTTTGCTGCATTTAAAATGCAACATTTAGCACTTTCGAACATATGTTTTCGAAGAGCGTTCATGCTACCGCATTTAGCAAATGTACATTTACGCGAGTTCGAAATCGNAAATGCAGCATGCTGAAATGTTGTTTTGCTGAAGTTTTCGGTTTTGGTACGTTGATTGTTGAAATGAAAATTTTATAATTTTAAAGCTACATCTGTAGCTATATCTATTACATTGTTTTTGGATCAATGATGGGTGTTTGGGGGAGATACTCTTGTTTTTGAATGCGTCACCATGTGACATCACAAATAATTATGAGAAAAATAACTTATTCATATAATTAGTTTGTATTTTAAAAAGATTTTTCTTATCGAAAACTATTCAATTGTATAAAATGACAAATCGGGGGAAAATGTACCAAACAGAAAATAAATTGCCAAATTAATCACCAGTGGCAACTGTGCAAGTGATCAGCTGTTTCGAATGTTGCAAGTTTTTGCAAATTTTGCGTTCTCGTACTTCTGTTGATATTTCGTCTCTGTGAGAGCGAATGCTGCTAAATTCTCAGAACTTTTGCTGCTGGAGAATTTTGTCCTCTCAATACGCGTACACACCTTATGACATGCTTGTATTATATGCAAATGTATGTATGTACATATATTGAAAATGGACGTAAACAGTAAATAGCATCTAAGGTTCTCACATTAGTCGCGTCTTCGCTAACAAAACGACCCAATGACGAACACTGGACCAGGACAATAACAACAAGCATGGAACGACTATATACAGATGCGTGCAACTAATTAGCAACGAAATTAAAAACGATACTGCTTGCAAATTATGTTTATTTATTTCTTTTTAATAATTTTCATTTAAAATATAATTCAATCTATATCAGAACCCACAATAACAAAAGTTGCAAAGCTTGCACAAATTGCAAAAAAATTAATCAAACTTAAAAAAATCGTCATCAAAATTTACAACTTTTTAATTAGAATATATAGAAAATGTTGGGGTATGCAGTTTTGTAGCCCATTCAATTTTAGTACAATAAAGTGGAAGTTTCAAGTCGCTTAAAATTACCGTTGATTTTTTAGAATTTTTTTTGTCGAGGGTGTTGCGGATTTTTTTCCATGTGAAAAAAAATTTTGATCATGTGTTATATGGAAGAAAATGCGCAACACCCCCCAAAAAAAAAATTCTAAAATATCAACATAGATATATAGATATAGATTGAATTATATTTTAAATGAAAATTATTAAAAATAAATAAATAAACATAATTTGCAAGCAATATCGTTTTGAATTTCGTTGCTAATTAGTTGCACGCATCTGTATTTATTTATTATTACCCTCATAGCCTCACCTAAGGAGAGTCATTTTGGAGTAAAAACCCCTTAAAAAATATTTGGAATGCATACAGTGTTACGTAAAAGTTTCATCGTTTTGACACTTTACTGTCATTCCTAAATTGTTGCGCCAAGCGTTGCGTTTTTCAGTGCCAACGAGTGCCACCGCGCGCATACCTACGGTTACCATTCGTACCGATTTTGGCGGGACAGTACCGATTTTGAGAAAATTGTCCCGCTGAATATTTTTTAAAAGTTGGCACATATAAGTGACCCGATTTTTCAATTTGTACCGATTAAATCTCAATTTTCAGTGTTTTTTTTAATAATTTAATAAGAGTCTGGTACAAGCGTACAAAAGAATATAAGGGAGCCATAAACATAGCCAACATCCTTATTTTCTATGATCTTTGGTTATGTTATTGCAGTAAGTATATCACTTGTAACTTGATTTAGTGACATTATAAAAAATAATACTAATTCCCTTAAAATTCATGTATATAAAAAGTATATGCTCTAGATTGCAGTGGTGAAAATATAAATTGGAAAGCATTTTGGCATTCTTTGGCTATTCCCCTTTCGATTATTTAATGTTATTTTTAAATGTTTATTTTTTATAAAAGTGTATCTCGTTAATTAACAATGACCACCTCCAAAAATAAGCTAGGTTCCACAAAGTTTCATCAAAATTTTCAGCTTTTGAATTAGATTTCTTAGAAACATTATGCACTTTTATAGCCCATTCAATTCAAAGAGGAAATTTTAAGTATTTAGGGCTTACCGTTGATTTTTGGTAATTTTTTTTGTGGAAGGTGTTGCTCATATTCTTCATACAAAAGAATTGTCGAACATACTTTGTACGGAAGAAAATGCGCGAATAAAAAGTTGGCAAAAATCAACGGTAAGTCCAAGCTACTTCGAACTTGCGCTTTGGATTGAATGGGCTACAAAACTGCATACTCAAAATCTTACAAATCTTAAAAAAGCGGATCAAAACATTTAAAAGATTGCAGAATGTGACTAGTTCTCCAATCATTCTGTGATCGATAACTAACCTCAATGTTTGATGGGTGTGATTTATATAGTTTTTGATAAAGCATATTTTTATAAAAAAAAATAAATAAAGTTTTACCTTGAAAAACATTGCAAATATTAAAAATGAAACACATTCATCCATTTTTGGCCGCCACTATATCTCGGCAGCCCGTTCGAAAGCGCCCTATCTCAGAAAACTTTTCAAGAACGCCATACTTCAGAATTTGATTGAAGAACGCCCTATTTCAGAATTTGATTGAAAAGCGCCCTATCTCAGAAAACTTTTCAAGAACGCCATACTTCAGAATTTGATTGAAGAACGCCCTATTTCAGAATTTGATTGAAAAGCGCCCTATCTCAGAATTTTGTTGAAGAATGCCCTATCTCAGCTGCCCATTCAAAAACTTAGCACATTTTCTACGTATTTTCAGCTGAGATAGGGCGTTTTTGAACCGAATGCTGAAATAGCGGGCCATTGTCAAATTTCGTCTATTTTTCCCCGAAAAGACAGAAAGTACAAACACTCTCACGTTTTCACTCACTCGCTAGCGAAATGAACAATTGTGACAATCAAACGCTACTTACAGCTAATGAAACAACACCACCTTGGGCATATATGTAATGCTTCTATATTGGCAGTAAGCTAACTTCCCAATCCCAGTAGCGAAAATGGTCACCGATGACATCGTCGCAATTGCTGTGAATCTTAAACGACATATAGCTGACAATGACACTGGTGACTTATAACAGACAATTTCTTGCAGCAGTCACTTTTAAAAAGTCGATTTCTAATTGTTTACGTTCAAAAACAAAAATAGACATCATAGCAAGCTTAGAGGAAATGCGCATATGATATATTTACAAAATACAATTTTTCTTGTTATGTTTTGTAATTTTTTGAAGTTCGGAAGCTTGTGTGTGAATTCAGTGTATAAGATAAGAAATCGCTGCAAAAATACCCGAATTTTATCAATGGACTATACCCTGTAATTTCAAATTTCTTACATGTTTTCAATCTTTCTAGAAGCAACATCTGGATTTACATACGAAGACTCGACACTAACCACCTATATCAATATATTTGATCGAAAAAATAAAAATTAAGTAATAATAATTTCTTTCGAGCGAAAAAATGAAACTGTAATTACACTGGTTTACAGAAAAAATATTTTTTTGATGCAAGCTTCATTTAATAAAAATTAAGTGATAATAATTTCTTTCGAGCGAAAAATGAAACTGTAATTACACTGGTATACAGAAAAAATATTTTGTTGATGCAAGCTTCATTTAACTGGTGTGGGGTCCACTGATATATGTATGTATTGGAAATAGTACCCAAAAAGTAGTAAAAATAATCCTAATCTTTTCGCCCTTTTTCTACTACCCCAAAAGGCAAGGCCGCAATTGGCATGCAGAAAAAGTGAGGTTATGTAAGTGACATCACCTTATAATAGTTTTCCAGCAGCAGTACGAAAAGCAGGAATTTACAGGAAGCTGTTTCCGCACGACACCTTACATAAGGTTTATTAATGGCGAAAACAGCTGTTCCTGTAAAATCCTGCAAAACCTGCTACTATTTATTTCACCATGAGTCAGCACATTCGCGCCTTGGCACCCACGTCACTGTTGACAGTTATAATTTCGAGAAAGTAGAGAATTTCTTTTACTTGGGAACCAGCATTAACACCGATAATAATAGGTGCGTTCGTTTAAAATCTCCAGCAGAAACCAACCAACTGCCAAATTTCGGCGAAATGTCATCTGTTCTCTCACAAGAGAAATATCCAAAATGGTACGCGAACAGAAAATTTGCAGAAACTTGCAAGTTAGACGAACAGCTGATATAATTTTTGTTTACATACAAAAGTGTAAAATTTAAAACGGACGAAAAGTCATCGCAAAGTGTTATACTGACACAGTTTATTGATTAAACAAATAACTACTTATTTCTTACAAGTTTAATTAGTCGCATTTTGTAATTTTTATCTTCCAAACCATCAAATTCAATTTTGTGATTTGCGTAAATGCCAACCAGCTGTTTTTGATCAGCTGTTTTCCTGTTGGCACATTGCTG